TGAGACTCCAACTCAAAAAAAAAAAAAGAAAGAAAGAAAGAAATCCTAGGCTTAGGCGATCCTTCTGCCTCAGCCTCCTAAATAGCTGGAACTACAGATACATGCCACCATGCCAACTAATTTTTTTATTTATTGCAGAGATGAGGTCTCATTGTGTTGCCCAGGATGGTCCTGAAACCCTGGACTCAAACAGTCCTCCTGCCTCAGCCTCCCATGACACACAATTCTAACATGACTTTGAACTCTTAGTTTGCACACAAGTCTAGAACTGCTGACCAGTGTGGCTAGCCCTGTATTCATGCACCTCTCCCTCGCACCACTCACCTCTGGGCAGGAAATGCAGCATCAAGCCCTGGGCCAGCATCATCTGGCCGCTGCGTAACATGCATCCCCAGCCACAGTCAGAGGTCAGGCCGCCCCCAGGGAGGGGCGGGAAGTCTCGGCGGTATGTAAGCCACAAGCGGGACAGGAAGTCCCGCTGGAAACGCTGGATGTCACCTATAAAAGCGTCCTGTCAGCTGCCACCCGGGACACCCCCCACCTCCCCTAACCCTGGTCCCCACCACCAGCTCACCCTCGCCCTCAAAACGGTAGCGGCGGCCACAGAGGTGGATGCTGGAGATCTTGCTAAAGCTGGTCCGGCTTTTAACTGCCCAACCTGGGGAGACGTGGGGCAGCGCCCAGCGAGATGAAGCACTTGCTTGACAGCAACAGCGCTTCCATTCCCATCTGTGAAATGGGCAGGATCCTAGTTCCTATCTCAGCAGTCCCTCTGGGGACTCAGCGCACCATCCCTCGAGACGGACGCGGGGCCCCTGGTGACCGCTAGACGAGTGTCCACCATCCATTCGGGATGAATTAAGGCAGTGCTGATGACTGTACCCAATTTACAGAAGGCAGAAAATGGAGGCGCTTGGAAGCAAAGGATCTTGTCCAAGGTCACACGGGGAATGGGTGAGGCTTCAGAACACTCCCTGTCCGACCTGCCGCGGGTCCACCCCGAGCCGGGCAGGGCGAGGGATCCACAGGTGACCCACAGGTGACTCACAGGAGGGGAACGAGTGGCGGAACCATGGGCAGGGACCGGGGCAGGTCGTGCTGGACACCCCCACCCCAAGCCCCTCCTCACCGTACTTGACGTTGTTCCAGGCCGTCAGGAACTTGGCCTTGAACTTGTCCACTTCGTCCGGCTCGCTCGGGCCGGCCGCGGGCGGGCCGAGCGCGGGGCCGCTGGCCCCGGCGGGCCCC